ATATTTTGTTTTGATATATATAAGTTGTTCGGGTTTTTTCATCTAAAAAAGAGCGACATTAATTTCTTGACGACCTAATATTTTATTTAATATGGTATACTTAGTGCAAAACTTTCATGGTATAATTATGAAAATTTGAAACTACCCATAATTGTCTCTCATAATTTACAACATATTATATTCAATCCTATTTTCCACAATAGGAAGAAAATATACATTGTAATTGTGTTCGACATATGTTCAAACGGACACCAAATTGTAACTTTTTAACATTTCATTCATACAAACATTGCTGATATAGATAGTTTGGCTTGTATATAACATATCGACTATACACTGCCAATATTGTTATCCAATGACACAGGAATTCTCATCGTTTAATGTACAATATATATATATTAAAAAAAAAGCTTTATTTTTAGTTTTTTCTTGTCTGTTTCTGTTGGATTTTGCATATTATGAAAATTTATCTTAAATAGAGAATTTGGAAATTACTTGGCAATGGGCGTTAAACACTACTATATGAATATTACTAAAATGTTATTAACAATTGACAGATATTTGCAACTTAAAGTACACTGTTCTTGAAAGGTCATGAAAATAAAAACCATATTTGTAATTGACAGATTCGTACAGAAAAATTAAGCAATTATTAAGCTCAGAAAACACCATGTGGTACTACTAATCGGTTCAACTAAGCAATTGCAAAAAGTGTTATTCGACAGTATCTATATTTATACATTTAAAACTAAATTTTAATTTCTTTAGCTTCGATAGTTTCCAAAAAACTAGCAGAAGGAGTTTCCGCTTTAGTGTTTGATGTCAAATTGGGCAAAGGTGCAATGTTAAAAGAGAAGGAAGCTCGCCACCTTGCGGAAGAAATGGTAAGTGTTGGATTTAATAGATTAGCCTAAAAAAATACAAGTTCATGATTGAAAAACACGCATCAGCTGCAATAAAATAAGAAAATAATGCTTTTTCTTTAGTTTCGTATTACGTTCTAAATGCACCACTTCTTGTGATAGAGGTGTTTCTTTACAACGAAAACTTTCTGAGATTATAAGCTCTAAGTCAGTTGCTTACTGTAAATATTTTTGACACGTAATTAAGTGTCACAAACAAGCATTTTATGATTATATATGTGGTATTCTCAGATTAACATATTTTCACACGAAGTAGCGCGTAGGATCCACAAGACAAGAAAATGATTAGACAGATACTGTTTCTCAAAGTAGTGCTTGAAATATTTTTCTCTTTGACTGAGATTGAGTTACAATACATAGACTGGAAACAAGTTTGCAAACATTCACAACCTTTACATGACACAACACAATCAAGATGTTAGTTGACACTTGGACGAGTGCTTTTGTGATGAGTTTCCAACTGGAGAGAGATCCTTACTTGTACTTCCTCAACCTTCTACTTTTAGCTCACAAATGCTGCAGCTGAGTGAAGTTAAGCTAAAAGATGGCTCAGAAAACTGTCTCAAACAGTGTATGCCAATATATAAGTGTAAATATGCATCAAAGTCTCTCGGAAATCTGCAAAAGAACTAGCTGAAACAAATTAAAAGAAAACGACAATATATCCATATCTTTCTTCCCTACAGGTGCACGCGCCTATTGAGGTTTTGCAGACACGTGACCAAAATCACGCGATTCAGGCTTGTCCACCATTTTGGACGTCTCGCTAGAGCCTATAGTACTCTGTATACCACGTGTGAGATAAACTCAGCAGAGTTGAAAGTGCGTTAAATTATGTCAGATGCTTTGTCACTGACATTATTTGAGGATGTTAAGCATCTGCAGGGAGAACATCGACAGCGACACCTGCAGAGCTGAAGCAAGCGGGCTTGTAAAGTGACCCGTACGTTTTTCCAGACGGATTATTTTCCGACATCGTGAGAGGCGCAGCTTCATCGCCACCAGAATTCACTCTTCACAACTTTCTTTTTTCATTGCCTGGGGTATATGAAATTTGGCCATATTCTTCGCTGCTCGTCTATTCTGGAGTGACTTGACGTGAGAAAACACAGTAGGAATATAGTCAGGGAAGAGTGGGTGATCACTCTTGGCACCTGGAAATATAATCAACAGAATTATATGTATTGGCAGCCTGTCTGAGACTATTAATATTATGATGCAAAAAATTAATTATTTATGAAAACTGAATTAAAGTGAAACTATTTATGATCTGTTTGGCTTATATGACAAAATTTCCAGACTTTCTGGAAAATTCTAACATTGAAATGTCATTTAGATACTATTGAAAAAAAGTTGTAATGTGATTGACTGACATAGTTTATTGCATGCCAAATCTAAGTATGTATGAAAATATATAAAAATATTACTAAAATATCATACTGAAATGACCATGGGACTTCTAATCCATGTTTGAGCCGAGCCACAAGTTTGTTGTGTTTTGTGTGTCATTTTGGGCGATATTTCAGGCCGATACTATCATGTTATCAAAACGTTTGACTGGCTTTGGGGCTAGATGATCATTTACATTTTTATCCCATAGTATAAAAGGATAAATTTGTCTGATATTTATTTATATAATATTGAAAAATTAACATTCATACTTGTTATAAAATGTAGCCTGATGGGTCCCAGTTTGACAGCTAAAATCCATCGATTCCATCGCTCTATGTCTTTTGGAAAACGACAGCAAGTGAGACTGGACTTTTGTCCCTTGTCTGTTACTACATCCAACAGCACAACAAGCAGTTATCATGATGGTACCTGATGAAGCCAAGGCATTAAGTCATTTAAGACAAGTAAAGCTAAGTTCACACTTCTAAGCTTGGAGTAAACACGCGGTAGCTGGACGTCCACGATGGCTGAGACTCCGGGATTTCCCAGCTCGTGACGTCACGCGCAAAACCTCAAAGATGACTGATCGTGAAAGCAAATTGAAATAATTTATTGACCATTTCTTCGTCTATGTCGTTGAGCCCTTGAAACATCACCGGACTCGCTTTCTATAGCATGTCCTATTACAGGAATATTCTGCAATGGAAAGTGCACGTGATTTATTTGGTGACTCACCCGGTTTCGTAAATACTTAAGGCAAGAGAAACTTAGTGATTCCTTTGACTAACATTCTATACTTAAAGTATAGTAGCAATTTGAAAAAAAATATAATTACTAAAGTTATAGGAAACGTGTCATATGCCCACATATTGCACATGCTTGTGGTTCAATATCTTTTGTTTTATTTGTTATCATTAGCAGAAAGGTTTGTTTTACTGAAAAGCTATACAATGACCTATCTGTACTACTGGATTTCAGTTTTGTAAGTTGGTATACTTACTGCTGACTCACTAGAATTTATTATAATTAAAAGTCATCTACCATTTATTCACCCAACTCATCAAATAATTCAAATCCTTTTGTAAAGAAGTAGTATCCTCCTCACAGTCAGCGACACCCAAAACTTTAATTTCATCAGCAAATTTAAATAACGTATTGACCATTCCTTCATCTATGTCATTGGTGTAAATCAAAAAACAGCAAAGATCCTAACACTGAGCCCTGAGCTATCCCACTCGTAACATTAATCCAGTTTGACAATGGGACAAACTATTCCCCAACACCTACGGATATAACTTTTTTAACACCCCTTTTATGTGGCACTTTGTCAATTGCTTTCTGAAAATCCACGCCCGTACTCGTATCTAAATAAGCAGTAACCTGCGTTAGTCGCCTCTAGTTTAGCAGTGAAAGATTAGAGGGAAGGCAGTTAGTCATCACCACCCACCGCAAGCTCTTGGGTTACTCTTTTATCAACGGATAGCGGGATTGATCGTCACATTATAACGCCCCCACGGCTAAAAACGCGAGCATGTTTGGTGGGACGGGGATGCGAACCCGCGACCCGCAGATTGCGAGTCGAGTGCTTTAACTACCTGGCCATGCCAGGCCCAAAAGATTGCTAAGGCAAGATTTTTCGCTACTAAAACCATGTTAATTATCCAACAAAATTTTAATTTGGGTTAAATAACTTTCCAAAGCATACTTTATCAGACTTTCAAAAAAATTCCCCACCACTTATCTAAGATTAATATACCTATAATTACTGGGACAATTTTTATAACATTTGTTGAAAAGAGGAGTAACATTAGCCAATCGCCAATCTTCTGGCCCCTGCCCATTATTAAAGAACTTGGAAAAATAATAGCAAGTAGCTTGCATAAACAATCCTTAACCTCTTTCAAAACCCTTACATAAGTATTATCTGGCCCAGGTGATTCATTAATCTTTTAAATTTCCCAATTTTCTCTTAACAAGCTCAGAATTAATGTGATCATTTTGTTAAATCTTGCTTCCATCTAGCAACTGTTCAGAGTGAGGAATATTGCTTAAATCTTCATTAATAAAAACTGAAGAAAAGGTATAATTGAATAACCAAGCCATTCCATAATCATCAGATACTAGCCTTCCTCTATCACCTATCAAAGGCCCAACTTCTATCTTAACACTTTGTTTATCTATAATGTATTTGAACAAATCCTTACGACTTATTCTTACATTTTCAGCCAATCTTTTTCATTTACATTTTTGACTTCTTAATTTCTCGTTGGGCGAACTCTTTTGATCTTTTATAATCCTTCAAATCTCCCATCATACCAGCTAATTTAAACGTCATATATTTATAATGCTTGGAGACGACTTGAATGAGTAATGAAGAAAAACTTTAATATAAATTTAACATAACAGCAAATGTACAACGTTTCGACAAGGTTTTGTACCTGATGATGACAAAGTTATAA